AAAAAAAAAAAAAAAAAAAGTTCCTCTATCAAAAAAATACACATACTACCAAGATGGAGTATTACCTATGTATTACCAGAGAATCCAAGTCAAAGGGATACATTATTTTGAATGAAAAATGACTGGAGAAACTGTACTACATAGTATGCCTGACAAGTTCTTGATTCTGCTATCAGATAAGTCAATGATAATAACAATAGACAATACTTAGATAGCATTTATTATCTGCTAAGATCTGTTCTAAGTACTTTACATTTATTTACTAACTGGTCCTTCAAACAACTCTGAGGTAAGGATCATTATTGTCCCTATTTTATAGATAAGTGAGACACAGAGATAGAACAGACTTGCCCAGTATCATGATCACAGTCAGTAAGTTGTGAATCTAGGAAATAACAATACTCCTAATCACTACCTTTCACTTAGAGTGCTAAGAAGGAAAGTCTGGAGTCCTCAAACTACGGCCTGCAGGCCACATGTGGCCTGTCTAGGACATTTATCTGGCCCGCAAGGTGTTTTTGCCACCGCTGCCTGTCCTGCTTAGGGGCCCGTAGTCCAGCCATCCCATGGTCTGAGGGACAGTGAACTGGCCCCCTGTTTAAAAAGTTTGAGAACCCCTGGTCTAGGGTCTCTCTGATACTAGACTATAAAATATCCCCTCCCTGCTAAATGTAGCTCTTTTATTACCTTTTTTTGGAAGACAAAAATGGAAATCTCTCTCTGTCTCCTAGCTAGTTCCTACCTTTGAAGCTTCTCTTTCCAAGGTTTTTTTTTAAGAAAAAAAAAACAACAAACAGCAGCAAAAGCTTATATAGAGCTGAGAGAGGTGCATACTCACTTATGCAGGTTACACACACACACACAAAGGTACACGGAAACATAAATTCACGTTCCCAGCATAAGCTCCTAGTTCCTGAAGGAACCAGAAAAACTGAGCTTTGAGACCACCAAAGAGACATCCCTTTGTTTATACAGGATTTTGCTCTTGCTCACAGTGCTTTCTGTGCTAAAGAATGTTCCCATGTCCAAGTGGCATGTGAGAGCTGGCATGTCCCATATGCGGCTGTCCTACTTTCTGGAATTCATGGGACAGACAGATGGATATCTAGCTTTAACACTTCGACAAAAAGATGGATTTATTAGCTAGAATCCTGTAAGAAATTATTAAAAATAGCTTTAATGGAGTAGGGTCCAGAAGACTGTATGTAAGTTCTTGCCATTCCCACAAATGATTCCTTGATCATAATTTGTCATGATTGCTACTTGACTCTGCTTTCCAGGCACTCATGGACTGGACCCCCCTGCAATGTAAAAGCATAGTTAGCAAGAGCATAAGAGAGATAGCCAGTAAGTGACCCGAATAAGAAGGAATAATAAGGGTTAAATGACACAATCAACTCTCCTAGGGAGCTCTCCACTGACCTCCTTCAGTCACTGCTGAATACTGAGCAGTAGTGAATAATATCCTAATGTCACGTGGCTTGGCTGTGTGACTGCTGACAGTTTGCAGTTTCCTTATTTCCCCACATAGCCCTACATTAATGATCCACAGAACGAGATAACCTAGTCATACCTTTCTTCCTTGCAGCCTGGAAAAAACTCTATCACAATGGCAAGTTTAACAGACAACAGCAACAAGCACAAAGCAGAAACACTGAACAGCAACTCCATGAGCAGCTAGCTAGACAAGGACAATGAGGGTGGCAAAATGGAAGATGACATAGGACTGGGCACAGTGGCCACAACTGTAATCCTAGCACTTTGGTGAGAGGATCACTTGAGTCCAGGAGTTCGAGATCAGCACCTCCAATAGTGAGAGCTCTGTTTCTACAAAACATAGAAATAGCCAGGTATGGGGGCACATGCTGTAGTCCTACTACGCAGGAGGATGAGACAGCAGGATTGCTTGAGCCTACGGGTTTGGGGTTGCAGTGAGCTATAGTGAAGCCACTGCACTCTAGTCTAAGCAACAGAGTAAGACCTTGTCTCAAAAAAAAATAAAAAAAAAAAAAGATATGATTATCAGGGCGGTGGGAATCTTTTTCTATTCAAAGGCAGAATCCAAGAGGGTTTAGCTGTATCACTGCCTAAAGGATAGAATATAAAATAAGAGGACCTTAGAGATTCAGGAGAAGGCTTGTATTCCATCAGGTAGAACTTCCCAAGATTAAGGATGTCTGCAATAATTGAGACAAATTATCTGGGAATCCTTCCATTCCCAATAATTAAGAATCTCATAAAGCATAGGTTAGTAAACTTTTTCTATTAAAAGCCAGATAGCAAGCTTGGTGCCTGTAGCTCAGTAGTTAGGGAACCAGCTATATATACCAGTCTGGCGGGTTTGAACCTGGCCAGGCCTGCTAAACAATTGACAACTACAACAAAAAAAAAAGCTGGGTGTTGTGGAGGGCACCTGCAGTCCCAGCTACCTGGGAGGTTGAGGCAAGAAAATCACTTAAGCCCAAGAGTCTGAGGTTGCTGGGAGGGCAACCCAGGGCAATATAGTGAGACTCTGTCTAAAAAAAAAAAAAAAACCAGATAAAAGCCAGATAGCAAATATTTTAAGCTTTGTGGGCCATATGGTCTCTGTCATAACTACTCAACTCCACCTTTGTAGTACACAAAAGCATCCATAAATACTACATAAAACAGGACATGGCTGTGCTTCAAATTAAAAAAAAAAAGACTTTATTTACTAAAACAGGTGGTGACCCACTTTGGCCCACAGACAATAGCTTGCCAAGCCCTGCTACAAGGCAAAAGTGCTTTTCAGAGCCAACTTCTTCAAAAGTAAGAGTGAATTTGTGGATTCCAAGAGAAAAAGGAACAATGTAAGACTAAAAAGAATCTTGCATACATGATCAACATTCCAATCCTTAGAAGCAACAGTAAAAAATTGGTGCACATAGCTCAGTAGTTAGGGTGCCAGCCACATACACAAGATCTAGAGGGTTTGAACCTGGCCCAGGCTTTCTTTTTTATTATTATTATTATTATTATTTATTATAGGCCTTCTAAACAATGACAACTACAACAATAACAAAAATAGCCAGGCATTGGGGTGGGCACCATGGTGGGCACCTATAGTCCCAGCTATTTGGGAGGCTGAGGCAAGAGAACTGCTTAAGCCCAAGAGTGTGAGGTTGCTGTAAGATGTGACACTATGGCACTCTACTGAGGGTGACATAGTGAGACTCTGTCTTAAAAAAAAAACAAAACAGTAAAATAATTTATCATTGAAAATAAAATGAAAATACACGTATAGATTACTTTGACTCATTTTTTTTTACTATGATTGATAATGTCTCAAAGTTATAGCTATTCAATACATTCAATACTGAATGATCTATCAGTCAGGAAAGGTGAAGCTATTATAGCAAACCCCAAAAGCATAGTGACTTAAAAAAATAAAAGTTCATTTCTGGCTCATGCTACGTAAGGGTCAGCAGCTTCTGTAGGATCCAAATGACAGAAAAATCTATCTCCAATGTTGCTGGTCATTATGTCAGAAGGGAAAAGGGCTTTGGAGGGTCATACCCCAGAAATTCAATGATCAGATATTATTTCTTAGCCTCATCCTCCTAAAGTGCTAGGATTATAGGCAAGAGCCAGTGAGCCCGGCCTGAAATTTTAATTTTAAAAAAGGTGACAGTAGTTTCTGACTAATAGTTTAATCAGAAATGTATTTGAATAAGAATCTCGGCTCGGCGCCTATGGCTCAAGTGGCTAAGGCGCCAGCCACATACACCTAAGGTGGTGGGTTTGAATCTAGCCCGGGCCCACCAAACAACAATGATGGCTGCAAC